ATTTATTTTAAATTAATGATAGGAAGCAGGGGCAGAGAGAGGGAAGAAAGAAAGAAAGCATTAATCTTGAATAAACTATTTTCCTTAATAATAAAAAACTATTAAGATACTTGTTTAAAATTTTTTATGGCGAATATTTTTTTAACATGACACTTTCTATTTACAATTAATACACATATGCATAAACAATTAGTAACATTTACATTACTTAACGAAACTTATTTTGATTATATTTTTTACTGTTAAAATTTAATGATATACAAATCATTTCCCAGCGTACAATCATGAATGATATGAAATGGTGGAAGTATAGCATAAGAAAATGGTTAAAAAATTTTCTTAATGGTTATCCTGTAATTTGCAAAATTTTTAAATATTGGGATAATTTTATTCACTTGATCATGTGATTCACTTGATCATGCTTTTTCGAGCCATTAAATGAATTTGTTAAAAGACTGCTCTGTAATTTTGAACAGGCCAAATTTATTCTGGAAAACAGAAGCTGTCTTATGACAGAAGCTGTTGTTGTGGGTAGTATTAAATTAGGGCAGAAAACTTAATCACTTTTGGAATTTGTCCTAGATGGTGTTCTTCATTTCCATATTTTTAAATCACGTGAATACAAATAGCGTTGTGTTATTTTATAATTGCCTAAATACTAATTGTTATGTGTGCTTTTTAAATTGCGCAAAGATAAAACGCAATGTGTGATTTTTAAATTGCGTGAGTACGAATTGCGATGTACAATTTTAAATTGCGAAAAGACTACTCACAGCGCATGATTTTTAAAATGTGTGAATATGAATCGCGAGATATGGTTTTTAAATCGCGTGAATACGAATCGCGATGGATGATTTTTAAATCTCGTTATTTTTAATACGAAATGCGCTGTGCAATTTTAAGGTCGCGTAAATACGAATTACGATGTGTGAATTTTAAATTACGCGAAGAATTAAAACGCATAAATACGAATCTCGACATGTGATTTTTAAATCATGTAACAACAAAAAGAATAGGTTGAGTGTGTGATGTTAACTTGCACTTGTTCATGGGACTAAAATATACACGTGTTTTGAATTATTTTTAAGCAAAGGGGAACGCGTTTAATATAAATGTACACAACTTGTTTTTATTTTTCATTTTTATTCTTTTTAGGAAGGTATCGATTTTGCTAAAATACGTAATTACTTTTTAAGTTCAAAAAAATTTTTTAAACAGTATCGAATTTTAAGAGTTGTAATATTGTGCTAAAATATCAGGATATTCTAAATTACAAGTAAAAAGACGTTCGACAAACTTCTTATATTTATGTAAAAATCGACACAAATACAGCACATAAAAAGTAATTATGTTAATGCGGGATTTAAAACTTGCGCGCTGTCTAATTATATGAAAAATATCGATTTTTTTTAAATCACGGGTAAAAAGCGTAGTAATAACTGCAAAGGAAATTATCAAAATACCTTTATATTTGCGGTAAAATTGGTGTAAATAAAACGCGTCAAACTTTTATGTATTTAAATGCGAAATTAAAGTATCAAAATAGCGTATAAAAATATCGGACTTTCTAAACCTTGTGCAGATGTGTAACAATAATTGCCAAAATAACGATTGAAAAATAATTTGATTTGCAATAAAATTGGCACAAATAAACCACGTCAAAAAATTGTTATCTAAATGAGCGATTATTTAATCGCGATTCGTAATAATATCATGCCAAAATATCAAAATTTTAAAAACCATGCGGAAATGCGTAGCAACAACTGCCGAAAAAGATTAGATTTTTCCTGAAGTTTGCACCAATAAAGCGTTTCATAACTTTTTAAAAATCGTGATTTCAGAAAATACGTGAAAATGGGCAGCAATAACTACCGGAAAGTCATTGAATTTACGATAAAATCGGAGCACTCGAAGAGAGTCAAAAGTAATAACTAAAATTAGAAATTCGTATATCATAATAATGATGTGTTCAAAGTAATGGTATTTTCAAAACTATGCCTAAATCTGTAGAGGTAACCATCGAAAAAAATCGATCGAAAACTACATTGAGTGAAATTGGGTGCGTCAAAAACTTAAATGCGTAAATTTCCAATTTCCAATTTTTTTTTTTTATTTAAAAAAACATTTTATTATTTTTTTTCATTTTGTTTAGATTGCGGTAGCGGGCCGCACATTGAGGGTTGGCGGGCCGCAGGTTGTGCACCCCTAGTTTAGTGGTACCTTCACAAATTCAACTTGAGGAAAAACGGTTTTCTTAAATTTACTTACTTATACTAAAATAATATTACTAATATTTATTTTTATAATATGTGTTATGAAATGACAATGTAAAATAACTATTATGATAAGAAAATAAAAACAGCAAAAAATCAACAATGAATAGCAGCTAAATTTGTATGACCCAAGTAGTTATACTCGCATTTATTATTTACATGTAAAACATTATACATAACATTTATAATTTACATATTAAAATTTTGAGAATTGACCAAAAAATTTTTAATGTAACAAGGTGAGATCTGACATTTTAAGAACAACAACTCTGCCACCTGGCAACCTGCTACACAATTAACTCGAGAAGTAAATAAAGGTAATCCCTTATTCAAATAAAGTGTAATTTAGTGAGTTTTGTCAGTAGATTTACAGTTTTGATGTTATTGGTTCTCGAGAATGTTATGAAGTCCAAACTGTTTAAATGCCAGCAATGGAAGATTTTATGCAAATAAATGATATACCATTAAACAAAATGATATACCATTAAACAAAATGATAGTTATTAATTTTTATTTGATATCTTTGAGTTGGTTGTATTTTTTGTTTCATAATTCTAATGTTTTGTGACATCAACTATGTTTACATCATAAAACTTGTTCAACTTTGTTTAATTTTCGATTTTTTTTTAGGTACTTTTGTTTTCATTGCTGAACTATAATGGCTGAAAGTATTTCCTCTAATAGATCTTTATTGGCTGCTTCATCTGATGGTCCCAGAAGAGTTAAGAAAAGACCCAATCCCCCTCCTATTTTCAATGGTACAGCCCCATCAGAAATTAGAAATACTGAGCTATTATGGTAGGTTAATTGATTTCAAATTACTAAAGCGATTTATTAGACTTACTTTGACAAAAGAAATGTCTCTACATATCTCTTTGTGGAAGGCCATGAAAGATCTTCAAATTATTATTGATGAAAACTAATAATAAACATGGTGCATAGCGTTTTTAAAAAGTGTGTTAAATACGGTGACATGATCTCGGGGTTAAATCATAACAAACACCTTTTAATGAAATATATTTAATAACAAACACAGATGATTGTAATGATACAGTGGCATGGAGGAAACTGATTACAATTAATGAAATGATTTCACATTACTGTAGCGCCATCTGTTTAGTTTTAGAAATTATTATTTACATTACGAAAAATTAACAAACTGTTTAAAGGTGCTTTTTTGATTGGGTGTTTTTAAAAAGTACTTATTTTTCCCTTTTCTAAAATGAGATATTTTTTCTTTACCGTGTCAATTTTCGCTGCGTATTGCGCAGAAACGTGCTTTTTACATTGTTCATTCAACCACAATCCATTTCGTCGGTCCGTAACGTATGATAGCGCCAATCATATTACATGTTTGATAAAATATTTGGGAGTGACAACTGAGCTGGGTTCAGCAAGATTCTTTCAATCTTGTGTACAACTCTGCTGCATTTTGCAAGATATTCTCAATTTCAGGCTTCATTTTCCGCTTACTATTCAAAATGATGAGTAAGCTTAATAAAAAATACTTCAAATTCAAGTTTTCTTCTTCCATGCAAATGATATTTAAAGATAGGAAATCAGCAAAAGACATACTTTCTCTGATTAAATGTTTTTTTCGGCGAATTTGGATTTCTGACTCCCAAAATGTACAGAGTAGCCATAATCCAAAAAGTTTTGTCGGGAATACAGTCCAAAATTTGTACCCCTTTTAACTTTTTTTACTTTTTGCATATTTCACCATGTCTTGTTAAACAAATTGAAAATCTTTTTTGCATATAATTATAAAATTCATTTTTCCGAAGGTAATTTCATAATATCTTTCAGTAAATATATATTATTTTTTATTATTTTATTTAATAATAGTCAAAAAACTTTTGGATTGTTAGGTATAAAATTTTACATGATTTTAAAGAATAAAATTTTAAATGGCAGAATACAAAATTTAAGCAAAATCAATCTAATAGTTTCTGGGATTCAAATTTTGAAGTAGTGATATTTTTAAAATTTGTCTTATAACAATGGTAAGAGAATAAAAATGTGATTTACATTATAATAATTATGCACATTGTGGTATCAAATTTATTGATTTTTATTTCGCAAAAAAAAGTATGAAGTATAAAAGACGTTTTAATTTAAATATTTTCAATTTATTTGTTTGAGCACCCTGTCAAGGGGGGCTTGACCCATGTTGGGCAAAGTATAACACCACGTGCATTGTTTGTGACAAAAACACATGATCAAGAGATGTATGCTAATAAAGCTTGATGTGACAATTGAATTATTTATTTTTTAATTTGCTAATTTTGTTTTGCTTTTAGCTCTCTCTGTTATAACCTGATTAATGAAGCACACATGACTAAATGTGGACACACCTATTGGTAAATTATATGTCTTATAACATTATTTTTCAATACAGTGTTTTTTATTTTAATCTTTATTAATGCATGTTAAAACTGTTAGCAATGGTAAATTATCTACCTTATAACATTTATTTTGTAATACTTTGTTGAGATTTACAATTATTTCTCTTCCTAATAAAATTGTAGTTGCCAAAAAACTTAAATACCTTTTCATAAGTTTTTCTATATCTGTTCCTTTTTATTTCGTAATCAATGCATATTAAAACTGTGGTCTAAAATTTTTAAAGTTATATATATATATATATATACATAGTNATATATATATATATATTGCAGTATGGTATGTCTATCATATGGTATCAATTAAGACACGTTTTAATTGATTTATATTCAGGCTCTTGCAATTTGCGTTGTTATTGGTTAATAATTTGGATTTTTTTTTTTTTTTTAATTTGCTTTTTCATAGCAAATTTTAAAAAAAAGCTAGTTACAATTTATTGCAAGGATGATGAAAAATAAGTACACCACTGAAAATTTTCTATCATTGCCTTTCAAAAAGGATAAAAAACAAATCAAATAAAACTTTAAATCCATTAACCATTAAATCCATAATCCAATCTGATTTTTTCTTTTTTATTTATTTTTTTAGTGTATGCAATTAAAAAGAAAGCTGTTATTAAAATGCAAGCTATATTTTCGTATTTGTCGTACAAGAACTACAGTACAATTTTGATATCCATGTTAAAAGAAAAAAGAGTTGCAAATTTGTTGCAAAAAAAAAAAAAAATATATGAATTTATAATTGAAATTGATTTTTTATAGATTTTTTTTTTTTTTAAATTATCTACCATTTTGTTTGAACATGAACTGTTTAATTGAATTTTAGAATTGCATGTCTATATTTTAATTGTGTTTATTATCATTATAATGCACATTCTTTATTTTGGATATATTGTTCATTGCTCTAAAATTCTGAAAGTGATCTTTTTGCACATGTTCAAATTAACCCTAGCAACAATTTTACTTAGGACAATTTACCAGTTGGACTCGATATAGGTCGTATAAGTTAATGCACTGCAGGACCGATATTGGGGTGTCTGGATGTTTTAATATGGGTCCTAGAATGGCCTATATAGGGCCTACATCAGCCAATATAGAACCTATATTAGCTAAATAATGGATATAAAATATTGGATGAATCTGACTATTCTATATAGGACCGATATTGGTTGTAAATGTTCGTAAAATATCGGGTGAATTGGAAAATTCTATATAGGGTCAATATCGGAAAAATAAGGACAATTTGAACAATTATTCAGCCAATATTCACGAATATTGGCTCAATGAGGGCATTAATTATTTTGTTGCTAGGAAAAATATATTGAAAATAGTAGTTAGTTCCGTAAAGTGCTTGTTAAAGTGTTTAGTTTCTTTTTTTTCTTGTGATTTTATTTTGAAACTTTTTTTGCACACTTTTTAGCTCTGTTATTCAATTGAAGTTAGTGCATGTGCTTTTATTTAATGTATTTTATTTTTTCTGTATAAATTTTATTCAAATAAAAAAAATTTTTTGAACATTAAAATTCTATTTAAATTTTCCTTTAAAAAAATATCACATTTTAAAACCATAATTTACAGTGCATCACTAGTTAATCCGGCGTGATAATTTTTAAATAGGATATATTTTAAACCTAGTTTTATCAATTCTTGCAAAATAAAAATAACATCTTTCTTTTCAATTAATGGTATTTATGTTCATTCGCATTTTAGTTATGCCTGCATAAAAACTGCAATTGAAACCCAGAAAAAATGTCCTAAATGCAGCACACCAATTGAAAGTGTTGATGAAATCTTCCCCAATTGTTTATGTAAGTCTTTTGATTATTATTTCATTATCTAAATAATTTTGTATCTTCTAGTAAAATGTTCTTCATTTATGTTCATATTATCATCAGTTATTGTTTTAGTAGCCAAGTTTTAATTGTGTAATGTAAAGTTTAGTAATCAACTATTAATTTTTACTTTTGTCAAGTACAATATAACCTTATACATATATAGCCAAATAGGCCGGCTAAATATCTTGTGTTATCAAAAATTGTAATATTTTTTTAACATTTAAGTCAATCACATTGCAGCATTTTTAACATTGCAGTACAAAGTTTGCGAATGTGCAAAGAGTTCCAAGTTTTTCACAATTTTCAATGATAAATCGGAAGTTGTTATGGAATAAATCATCAGAGGAAGGCATTGACCCACATTGGACTGTCTGGCCAACTATGATAACAATTCTCTCTTTTACTTTTTTTATTTATTTTATTTAAATTCCTACTATTAGTTCACACTCTCCCTATATCTTAGTCAAATTTTCAATCGTTAATAAAATACTTTTTATTTATTCACTCAAGTTCAAATACATTTTTGAAGTTGTTGTGGATGACACTCAATGTTAATACGGTTTTTTAAAATATTAATTTATTTATTGAATTTAGTTAATTAATTTTAGTTTTATAAGAGAGAAATTTTTTTCTAATTATTTAATAAAAAGTAACTAAGATAACATTTTTCTTTTTTGACCTAAGTAGGAATTGACTTAAATTTTTTTTTTTTTATATTACTTGTTCTCTTGATTATTTTCATTTAGTTATTATTGTTCAATTTTTAAATAAACTAGATATTGTTGTGTAAGAAAATATTTTTGTCAACTTAAAAAAGAACTGACACTGCATTATTAATTGCAGTAAATGAAGTAGTTGCCAAAGAAAAGAGTCGAATCCCCAGTAAACGAGTGAAATGCTGCCCAGAAGTAATTTTTTTTCTTTTTCTGATTATTATATATTGTTTTAAAAATGCGTATTCACTGTATATATGTGTATCTGTGAAGAAATAATAAAACTCTGTTAAATGAAGCTGTAACGTGGTTACGTAGCTTTTTTAAAAGATGCTTTTTTCATTGGGTGTTTTTAAGAAGTGTTTAATTTTCCCTTTTCGAAAAGGAAATATTTTTTCTTCACCATATTAATTTTTGCCTCGAATTATACCAAAAAAAAAAAAAAAAAAGCATTGTTCACATTCTTTTATTCAACATTTTCACAATTCATTCAACCGCAATCTATTTCGGCGTACTCAGAAGGTCTATAACATATGAAAGCGCAATAATTTTACATGTTTGATGAAACACTTGCGAGTTCGCATGTGTGTCTACTGAGCTGGGTTCTGTGAGATTGTACTCTCGTGTGCAACTCTGCTTCAGTTTGTAAAGTATTCTCAATTTCAAGCTTCATTTTCCACCTTCTGATATTGAACTGAAAAATCTCTTGATCATTTTATAATGGCTAATATAATATTTGTCAGAATCTAGTTATTTTATCATGATTGTGTAAAGTCTTTGAAAATTATTTTGCATTTTGTTTATGTATGGTGCTTAAAAATTATCTTGTGAGTGCTTGTAAAGTACTTGAAAGTTGCTTATTTTTTGTTGAAAAATTTAGCTGCCTGCGTAACTGTGGAGAAATCATAAAACTTTGTGAAATGAAGATGTAATCTTCTTTCTCTTTTCACTCAATAATTTAAATATATCAAATTAATTCTGTTATAATGAATTTTTCTGAAGCTGCAACCAGGAGTAGTCTTTCAGTTTTCAAAAAAATAATAAATACCATCAAAACAAAGCAATTGGAAGAAAAAAATAGTGCTTATTAAATAAAGATACCACCAGTGTTAATTCGTAAATTGTAATTTTTTTATTAATCGCCATCACTTGTGTCTATTTCCCATTGGCTTCAGAAATACCAGAATTGCCACTCTGCTATTGTTACCCAGTGGACACCTGTAGCTAAGCCATGACGGTGGAGTAGCCTCGCCCACGTCATACAACCACAAACCCGTTTATAGGGCAGGTTACATTCACACCGAAGAAAAGACATAGAACACGGAGAGAGAGAAAGTTACATCCATGCCTACGGTGTGATTCGAACCCAAAACCACTGGCCCCATAGTCCAGTACAGTAACCACTGGACCAATGATCAGCATTAATTATTATTATTAATTTCAAATTTAAGTGGATGTATTTGTTTAAACTTTTTTGATTGAAATGTCTTTGTTTTTATAATAATGGTTTAATTTTTAGAATTTATTAGCTTCTTATGGGTTTTGTTTCAACATTCTCTTACAGCATACAGACAGCTTGTTTGAACTACAGTCATTTTTATCTAAAGAGAAATGTAATCTGACCATAGAGGAAGTTAATTTAATGCTGGAAGTCTTGGCTCAGAAAAAACAACAGTTAGAAGCTGTAAGTTCCTCATTCATTGTTTTATCTTCAATTAGTCTTTAATTGTTGCTATAATTTTGATGTCATTAGTCTGTATGATTGATGATATTTATATAATAGTTTTCTGTAAATAATATTTATAACCGTCGTTGAACAGCCAACCCAATTTTGGGTTTACGACTACCTACTCGGGCTGATCAAAGTGGTCACCCACCCTCTCACTGACCTCAGTCAAGAGGACCAGTGGCACTTAAGCATAAATGAAAAATTTAGTTAGATAAGGCATAAATGAAAAATTAAGCATAAAGGAAAAATTAAGATAAATTAAACATAAATGAAAAATTAAGATGTAAGAAATAAAATGAAGGAAAAAAAACAATAAGCTTTAGTATTGGCTTTAGTTAATCAAGGTATCCGTATTAAAGAGGTTTAACTGTATGTTATTATTCTTGAATGTATTTAATTTGTTTAAATAATCCTTTTTAAAAATCATATGTATGAAAAAAACTCTGTTACTAATTTTGAAGTTAACATTTTTATTTTATTTTTTTAATTTTATGTAGGATTGTAGAGAAACTGAGCTACTCATCCTGAGAGAATTTTTAGAAGAAGTTCAACGGCACAAAAAGGAGGTAAATATTCAGATTATTTTTCTTTCTTTTTTTTGAATGATTGTTAAGAGAGACCTAATCAGATGCCTTACACTTACAGGAGTTGAAAAGAATTCAAGAACAACTACAAATGGTTGATGGAGATATTAGTGTTGTAAAGGTAATATACTTTCATATAATTAGTTATATTTATTCTATTATAATTCATTTCTGCCTTTCAGTAACATGTTTTAATTCATGCCTTGTTAGCATGTGGAATAAGAATTTATAGGTGCGGGGAGAGGGGTTATCGACAATATCAACCTTCATCTATGAAAAGTTACCCCCAACACAGAATTGAGTTAACATGCCTTATATACTAGTGAATTGGTATTAAATTTTTGTAGCGGTAGGTACACTACAGTACCCCCTCCCCCCATCAGAATTTTATCTGTGATAGAACTCAATGACTGGGATTACCACTAGTTTATTCATTGCAGTTTTTGTGAGAAGGCGGGAGAGCTGTATTAAGATCACCGTACTTTTGAGTGCTAATAATGAGAACTGCATTAAGTTCACGGTCGTTGTCGCTTCTGTGTTGCCATTAGCAGTCAAGTGTATACAGGACATCATTGTGTGTGATCGAGACTTATCAACAGCACTAGAAGGTGAATAAAATCACAGACACAAGTAACAAGTCAACTGTTCAATGTGGACAATCCATCAAAGTAGGGGTGTTTAAATCGAAGTGGGAGTTTCTGTCGTTTTAGGCATGATCACATAGCATCCGGAGGTCCCCAATGTGGGGCCAGTGTTATCGGCAATATCAACCTTTATGTATGAAATGGTTCCCCGAGACTGAACCGAGTTAACATGTCTTATATACTAATGAATTGAAATTGTATTTTTGTAGTGGTAACTGCATTAGGTAACCATTTAAAATTGCTGTAAGTTAAATAGTCTATAATTTTCGTATGATTGATTGCTGATAGTGTATTCTTTTAGTCTTTTTATTTATTTATTTCTAATGTGGGGAATGCTCTACTTGTATCTGAGATAACTTCTAACTTATTTAATAATAACAGTTTAGTCTCATCAATTCATTTCAATCGGTATGTAAATGTAATTTATTGAAAATCCATAAAAAAAAAAATTTAAAAATTACCGTATATTCCGGCATATAACACGCACTTTTAATACAAAAAGTAACATTGGAATTTACGGGTGCACGATATACGCCGAATATAAAAAATTATAGATTAAAAAAATTTAAATATAGAAAAATTAAATGTGGATATAGGGGAACAACATTCTTGCACGCACCTGCACTGCTGAATACAACAATCTCTTTTCTCAGAATCACATTATTACTTTTTCAACTCTACCCTCATATACATGTCAAATTCAGTTCTTTTATTTTTGCAAAAGATAAGGAAAAAACTTTTTATTTACGATCTTGAAAAACGAGATATTGCACATGTACAATCCAAATTTTCGTGCTCGTTGTGCAAAGAGTATATTTTAGAATTTAAAAAAATAATTTCTACTACTCAAAAAATCATAGAAGCTGTAACACATAAAACAATAAATTTGAAAATAATTTCTCGAAACATTTCTCAATCAAATAAATCAATTAACTGAAAATAAAAATTTAAAGAAATAAAAATTTCAACAGTAAATACTATCAATATATAAAAAGTAGTTTCACTTTGAAACATCAAATATGGGAAAAATTAAAATCATAATCATTTAAGAAATTGATTTATGAGAAATGTAAAAAACTTTAACTCAAAGGATACCTGAAAAAGTTCGAATTAGTCCGAGATATTTTGAAAACCACAACAGAGATGGGAATGCGTTGAAATTCCGTAAACACAATTCCAAAACCAAAGACGTGAGCTGCTAGGGAAAAAATTTGTTTCTTCGTTAAGATGAATCGTAAATTAACACCAATAGTGACGGAGAAATTGAAGCTTATTTTTCTTTTGAATGTCGAATATTTAAGTAGACCATCGTGGGTGTGAGAACAATTATTCATCGACGATAAGATCCAGCTCAGCACTTAAGAGTGGCAAAATCAACGCTTTCTCAAAGGGATAGTTTCAATAAAACATTTTAATTAACAGGAATTCGATGCAGTTTTTCTTTTTAGTCCAAGGAAGGAATTGAAGCTCAGCTTTCTAGTATTCTCAGGAACGTAGACAAAATATGCAGCATAGACATGGAAAACGGATGATCGTTTAGTTCCACTGTGCGTAGGTATAATTTATAATAAACTAAACGTTTGATGATTGAAGAGATTATTTTTTTTTTGATGAAGATACAGGATGAATTAATTATTGCCATAAGTTGAAGAAGAATTTGACTGCTTATTTACCAAATGTCCATTTGAATAAATGATTT